CACGTAACATTGTTACGTAAAACTTTATTCACACTGGTCAACTTAAGAGAAGAATTGATATTAAATACTTATCTGACTAACTATGCGATACATTGCATACGATTTACCCACTACCCGGGGCCCTTCGGGTGCGGAACATCTATATGCATTGTACCTTAATGTCGATGTCACTTGTAATCATCCACAAGTCACATCTCCATTTTATACTAACATCTTACTATACTAAACTTGCTTCTCTTTCGAGAAATACTTTTTACTCAATATCACTATTGATATTTCTAACTTCAACTTCTTCGACTTAACTATAGTCGAGAATTTCATTGAACTTTCTGTACTGATGTGGAATAACTTGACCATTTTCTGGTCATACCACAATTCTAACCATTAAGGTAAACTTTTATTTACCTTTAATGATTCAACTGTCATAATAATGTCGCAACTTCTCACTTATTGCCGACATCTCACATCTAATTTCAACGGCATTAAAAGCATACTGACTGAGCATCTTCTGACATTCGGTATAATTTAATCATACCAAAAAAAAAACTTATATCATACTCATCTTTCTTTTATAAACCAACTTGGTAATCCTTCAATCTTCTTCAGCAATGGTCCGAATCACCAATGGATTTAGCACTGCTAAAAATCCGAAAATTCAATTCCTTTCTCCCTCTTAATATCATAAAGAGAATTTATCGAGCTCGAGTAGAAAGATTAAGAATACTCATGCTCAATAATATCCCAAATGATATAAGATGGCTGATTGAAGCAAAAGTTCGTGTATCTGGCGAGTATCCCAATGCATACAAGTATCTGTCAGGTATGGGTAAAAGCACTTTTGCCAAGAAACGTAGAGAAAAAAAAAAATAGGCGGTTGCTATAAATGTGCTCGCTGGAACTGTGACACTCGCTGTACTTCTTTAGGCTTTGTCTCAAATAATCGAGAAGATAAAATAACTTTCATCAAGAATGGCTTGAGTAAGGAATCTCTAGCTCATACTATTCAGCAGATTCTTGAGACACATTCTAGTGGATATGTGCATCGAGAACTGATGTCTTTATGGCTTCTGCTCAAACATTAAGAGAAACTCTATAGTCTGGAAAATATTATTTCCAAGGATCATATTTGTCAACATTGTTCTTGATATTACCGATGTACTGTATATAAATCTTATCGCTGCTGATAGATAAGAGTTATTTAAGACTCAACTGCTTTCTTGTCGGAATTTTTCTTCTTTAAAAAAAATGACTCTATCTTCATAGCCAAGTATCTCTCATAATAAATGGCTACTGCCGAATCCTCTCAAGGTGTCAAACTCCTTCAACCAATCAAAACTGTGTGTGTTCTTGGTGGTTCTAGATTTGTACTCTTCCCTCATAACATCTATGTTGTAAGCCAACTGGTGAAAGAGTTGGGTAAACAAAAGATCAACATACTTTATGGAGGGACTAGTATCTATTTCTTTAATAACCTTTTAATGGCTGCTAAATGCTTTGACATCGAGGTGAGAAGTATCCTTCCTTTTTATCTCACTTCATCAAAGGTAGTCAAAGATTCTGCTACTTTGATGATAACTCTTTCTATTTATGACTGTTTGATGGCTATGATATCTGGTTGCGATGCTTTCATCGTTCTTCCTGGTGGATATGGAACTTTAATGACTGTCTTTACCCTTGCTACTTGGGCAGAAGTGAAATTTCATACCAAACCTATTGGTCTGTTGAATTTCAATAACTTTTTCCACAACTTGCTTGGATTTCTAGATGAAGGAGTGTATCAAACTTTTATATCCCCTTTACAAAGAGAAATATTCAAGTCTGCTGACACATCCGCTGAACTTATCAAGAAGCTTCAAGACAACATCTCAACAGTTCAAGATTCTGTGGAAACTCCAGGATTCAAACGCAAGCGAGCCTTTGATCCTTTAGATCTATCTTTGTGAACTTATAGCCATACTGGGTGGCAGGGTTATGGAGTCTTGTGCTCTTGAGACGCACCCTCTTTTCTGTATTATAATCTTGTATTCATTGAGGATTCTCTTGTCTGCATCTCCATTTTCTGTTATTTCTATACTAGCTTTTAGAAATAATGAAATCCTCAACAGTGTGCTTGAATCTTTGTCTAGTTCTTGGCTTTTGACTTTCAATGATATTAAAATTTCTATCTATCAAGTAGATTGATTGTGCAAAATATTCTCTTCTCGTGTATACTTGATTCACACATCAATACTACTTGTTTCTGGACTGAGATAACTTCTTGATTCAGTCAAGATTCTATGCTTCTTAAACTTTACTCAGTTGTGGTCTTGAAACTTTGCCTCGCGACATTCTTAAAACCACCAACCATTCATCTTAAACAGTATAACCATTAATAAATAGCTATACTAAACTTTAAGGAAATTAATAATTTGCCGAAAACACCTAGCCTGTGCTAGAGTTCCGGTTAATCTATCTTTTTCTTGCTTCTTCTCGCCATTTCTTACTTATGACTTTAAACTCATCATTTATCTTTGGAGACAAATACTTTCTCCAAGATAAAAACATATTAGTCTTTACTTATTTAACTTTCACATATCCAGATTACTCTTGCTTAACTTCAAAAATTCTTCCGAGAACTTAAATACTTATCTCGGTATCTGGAATGCGTTACTTATTAACTGATATCTTTTAAGCTTCGATTTCAAGTCTCCAGGAAATTCGGACTTAATAACCCTTATTTCAGGTTTCCAAAATTTTCCCGGCTACATGACTATTATATGTCGATACCTAAATCTTTATACTCATTGATTTCTGAAACGTACTTGGTAGACTTGTTCTTATTCTACAAGTACTAATATAAATAACTTATAACTTTATCTCGAACATTGCCACTTTTTAACTCATGATATCTAACTGATAAGATATCAAAACTTCAGATTATAAAAATTGAATATTTACTTGAAAATTTATTTCTTACGGTTCAGTTTTCAAGCCTACAGGATCTGATCCGGCTTGTGGTT